CCACAAGTGGCAAAATCACCATTTTGTGTCTTTCCTGCAGGTTACTCAGCTGGTGAAGGTCACCATGGACAGCTCACCTTATTTCAAGTTGGTGGGCCCCAATGGTGTGTGCCATCAGATCCCACCAGGCTCATTTTGTACTATAAACATCCTTTTCACCCCTGAGGGGAGCAAGGTGAGTTTGGAGGAACGTTCTCTCTAAAGCCAGGGCGTTTGTTGCACACTGGTTCTAGCCCAGCCCGTGCTGTGAGGTCGGCTCTGGACTGGGGGCAGGCAGCCTGGAGCTGGTCACACCTTGGCACAGCATGGTGCTGCCAGGCCCTGCAGTGGTTAAACACCTTGGCACAGTGTGGTGCTGCCAGTCCCTGCAGCTGGGCCTAGAGGGCTGTGCTTTCCCTCCGTGCCTTTTCCTGAACCTTCACAAGGGAAGAGGCAGATGGAACAGGAGGGAAATGACAGGGAGGGGTGTTGATGTTTAGCCATCTCTAGGTTCAGTGGAAGGGGTTTAATTATGGAAAACACCAGAGGAACAAAAAGATGATCCAGAGAGCTTTATTCTTTCCCATTGGAATGGAGCAAAAATGATGCTTTTTCACATGCTCTGTTCTCCAGCCTTTATTAGTATGAATTAGTAGTCATTTTTGGGGTGGAAGAGGTAAATTCTTGCCCACAAAGGGTCATAGAAAACAGCACTTTTTCTTCTGCCATGAGGATGGCACTCAATGCCCTCAATGCTGTGCCAGTCTCTTTTCCTGCAGGACCATTTCCACGAACTTGTCTGCATCAGTGAAGGGGAAAAGGTCTCTGTGCCAATCCGGGCCATTGGTGCCCACCCAGTCTTGGACTTCCCTGCCCAGCTGGACTTCTCGTCGTGTCCAGTCAACCACAGCACCCAGAAGACTCTGCTGGTTCACAACACCGGGAACCTGGAAGCCTGTTACAGCCTCAGCACTGAGAGGTGAAGCAGCTCATGTGTCTTAGTGCAAAACACCTTTGGGTAATGGCAGAGTTGGGAAAGAGGATCCCAAAGGAACCAGAGCATCCGAGCTGCTGCACTGCAGCCACAGCTGGAAACAGGCAGGACGTGTGGGGGCTGCTGTTGCTTCTGGTGTTTTAAGCAGGATGCAAGCCCTGAGTGTTGTCTCTCCCAGATTTCCTGGGGAGTGCTGGAACACGTCAGTAGTTGGTCTGCACCCTCCTGAGCACCACCACCTTCTGAAATGGCTGCTTCCCACTGTCAGCCAAATAAACTCACTGGGCAGAAGCACCCCTCACCTGAGCTATCCCGAAGCACTAAAGCACTGATTTTTGTGTCTGTCAGGCAAGAGCTGTTTACCTGGTGACAAAGCCAAATTGCTCCTGTTAAATCCAAACTGCGCCAACACATTTGCCTAATTATTTCCCTTGTTTCTCTGGTGGGCCAAG